AGCAGTGTGGCCAGCAGATTGAGGGAGGTGATTCTCTGCTCTGTTCTGGTGAGACCCCACCTGGAGTACTGCATCCAGCTCTGGGGCCCCCAGCACAGGAAGGACATTAACCTGTTGGAGCAAGTCCAGAAGAGGGCCATGAAGATGATGAGAGGGATAGAACACCTCTTATATGAGGAAAGGCTGAGAGAACTGGGATTGTTCAGCCTGGAAAAGGCTCCGAGGAGACCTTATAGCAGCCTTCCAGTACATAAAGGGGCCTACAAGAACACTGGAGAGGGACTTTTTACAAGGGCATGTAGTGACAAGACAGGTAATGGCTTTAAACTGAAGGAGGGTAGGTTTAGAGTAGATATTAAAAAGAAATTCTTTGCGGTGAGAGTGGTGAGGCACTGGAACAGGCTGCCCGGAGAAGTTGTGGATGCCTCATCCCTGGAAGTGTTTAAGGCCAGGTTGGATGGGGCACCTGGTCTAGTGGAAGGTGTCCCTCCCTATGGCAGGAGGTTGGAACTAGATATCTTTAAGGTCCCTTCCAACTCAAACCATTCTAGGATTCCATGATTCTATGAACTTCATTTTTATTAGTGCCATCTTCCTTGTATAGAAGAACCCTACTTACATATACGTTCCTTGTCTTAATTAACTACATTTTATCATCTATTAACATTTGGAAGTGATTTGTAGATAAAGATCACAAGTTGCACTGATGCTATTAGGCATCTACATTATCCAGATTATTATTTTGCAGTCCCATTTGGGACTGTATGAAAATGGATTTTTGTAATAAGTTTCATTTCAGTAATGTTTTATTGATGGTATTCTTGGGAAACCAAAGTCCTCACTAGAATATGTGACAAAAGAATGTGCTTCTTTCAGGAACCAGCTGGACTGTCACCCTGTAATGGAGTGCCTCAAGGGGAATGGGATACCTGCAAAATGGAGGGCTTTGAAGACACATGGCAAATGGCGAGGACAAAGCTGGTGAAGTTTGATTGTACACAACCTTGGAGCACATCAGAGTGGTTTCAAGTGTAGTTTAGCCTTTTATTCCTTGTCTGCTATGCCCTTTGTGGAGAGGGCAAGACATTTGCAAACACACCTTACAAATGACACAAGTATTTTTCATTGGAAAAAATATATTCTGAAACAAGCTTAGATCAGCACAGAACACAAGAACATACTACCAAAACTGTGAAAGTATTTTTTTTAACTCTACACAGTACATTAGGACTTGAGCTAAATTATTGGACACAGTCCACACTGTCCAATTCTCGATGCTACACATTAAAAATCCCATAATAATATGGAGTAGACCAAGTGGCACATCTGTAAGAGAGTAACAAAAACTTAGATGTCTAGAAAACATGATGTACAAAGAAAGGCTGAGGGAACTATGCTAATTTAGCCAAAAGATGATGTCTAATGGGCATAAATGTATCTCCATAAAAACGGTGGACAGAACAGGGGAGATCAATCATAGGAAGGGAAAATTAAATTACATAATGTAAACTTCTACTAAGGATAAAGATGACAACACATTAGAACAGGCTTGGGGGAGTTTATGAAGTGTCCATCCTTTTGGAGGTTCTTAGGAACAGGCAGAACAAACATCAACACAGACTGTTATATGTACTATTAATTGTATCAGACAGAAGGAAGGATGGATGAGACAAAACTCTCCTAAATGGAAAAAAACCCATGGAAGTTGTCACCTCAGGGTATATTTCCACCAGAATCTATAGTTTGTTTGTCTTTGAAAAACCTTTAAAAGTCTTGTTCATAGAAAAAGGAAACATTCACAGCCTATATAAAGTAACAAACACAAATGCTACAAAAGCTTTCTGTGAGATTCAGCAGCTCTTCAGTTTGCAACTTCAAGTAAGAAATATTCTTTGAAAATAACTATTCCTCATTTTACACATGCTATCAGCCTGTAGGAGGTGGTATCAGAAGAAGCCTGCAGAGAATCGAGCTTCTGGCAACAACAGCTGCCCGGAACTGCCTGGGGGCCAGCTACAAGGGGTCAGGCCGGCCCCAGCCTTACAGACCTCTGCAGGATTTCCCTCTCCTGGGCCCCCAAAGACCCTCCTTCCCTTCTTCCCCTAGCTATCCCTTCCCCCTGAATGAATAAACATATCCTCCTAACCAATATCTTCAAACCTCCTTATCAGAAATCCTCGAGATTCGAGGGTTCAAACCACCAACCTACCCCTGTCCCAGAACCTTCTATACCC